AAATGCCCATTAAGGCCCGTTCGAATGTTTAGTTCGGACAGAATAACATTAGATAAAAATAATATACTTTATTTAATTCTAAGAAATGAAAACACCCTTACTCGATTGAGCTCGACAACAATAGAATTGACATCGGATGTTTGGAATCGGCCGCACTATTGTTGCACGCGAGTAACTGAATGCTTAGGAACATCACGTCGATAACCCGTACCGCGAAATCATTTCAAATTAATTTGGAAGATATGTACGCAGATGCTACAATATTGTTCCAGATACCATTACCATATCTTTGATAATCACTCTTTGGCACCTAACATTAACGTCGCGATGACAAGGTCAATATGGCCCCTACTAGTGAAACTAAATTTTCATGTTCCTATTGCTTAAACCCTGACATTAAAATAGTGTATTTCGTACAGTCTACTCTCGAATACAGTACGAACATTTCGCTAAACGGCGAATATTATCTTAATGAAATTATTTTGTAAGAAGGGTAGAAAATTGTGAACATTTTAAACTTTAAAATCGAGGCAACAGAGTATACGCAAATAAAAATAGAGACATTTTAACAGTCGTCATCGGTCCCTTATCGTGGTAAAATTAGTAATCAAGTGGAAACGCTAACCTTGTTACTAAATGAACACATACCGCGAAACATTTAACACTACATCTACCACAAGTCCAAGCGATCGAAGAGTAAAACGCACTAACTTCATCACCGCACACTCACCTAACTTATGTGATTAATTTGTGAAGAGTTTCCGAGCGTACACCCGATAAGGTACAGAATCACTTAAACGTCTACACTTAGCTCTACGTAAACGTTACGTTTTAAATCGTAAGATCACTGGAAGATACTCGAAATACAATACACGAAGTACACGTTAGTCATTCGTCCTTGGCGGTCGAGGGGTCGCGGGGCGCGGGGTGCGCGGGGTGCGCGGGGCGCACGGCGCGGGGTCTCGTCAGGGGGCCGGGGGGCGGCAGCCGAGGGGCTGCCCCCGGACTTATAGGTAATGATATATTTTGGCAGAGTATCTCTGTGGCACACCATAATAAATTAAAAATTAAATAAAAATGTAAATAAACTTTATGATAACGAACATTTGCACGTGCGAATCGTTGCCGTTAAAATATCAATAGTATGCTTATAGAAACCTAGGATAGGGCTTAAGTATAATCTTACAACTAGATGATGTAATACCGGAGACCTACAGCTACAAGTATATTATTAACAGAATATCTAAAGCATATGTCACTTTGAATAACTTTCAAATTGAGCCTATAGAAAATACCACAAATCTTTTTTTATTAAATAGATATTGATATGGCTAAATTTAAGTTAGAACTTTATCCTTACCTATACACAAAAGTGTAATATTTAAATTACTGTCAATTATAGTACTTTAATAACACTTTTCACAAATGTATGTAATATAAAATGATAAAACAATTTTCAATTTAATATATTAGGTTACCCTTACATTAATCGTATAATCTAGATAATCGTTTCATATATTAAACATAAAGTGGCACTTGAATCACAAATACTGGAAAAAATTTGGGGAAACGTCAGGTGAGGCTGAGGCGGAGGCCTCTGCTACTCCACAACTAAATACATTATCCTTACATTAGGCAAGATACTTTACATCACAGGATAACGGATTGCCTTGCGCTGCGACTGCGCTGCGGCTGCGCTGCGACTGCGCTGCGACTGCGCTGCGACTGCGCTGCGCTGCGACTGCGCCGCGGCTGCGCAGCCGCGTGTGCACCGCACCTCCAATCTCAGTTGTTCATTTTCTAACATGCATTACGTACAAACTAATTTTTAAAACAAACGATGCAGTCCGAAATGCAAATACACGCTTATTGCTGGTTCAAATATCACTTATGGAAAACGAGGGCTCATCGCGATTGAGAATTCAAAAACAGAATAAATAATTATAATACGTTCAGTAATGCTCGAATACTAAATAATATTAATAATAAAAAAAAAAACACGAAAAGAAACTCGGAACGCAACAGCTCGTAGGGCGAAACAGCAACAGCCCCCGAGCGCAACAAAAAATAAATACACACTAAAATAAGGCCACGGGACGAGTGACTGAGGTAGCCCGCGACGCAACTACTCTATATCCGATACCTTACGTTATTTGGTAATTACAGGAGCGAGCCGCGTGTCGCGTGTCGCGTGTCGCGCGTAA